AGCTGCATGCTGCTGCATGCTGCTTGCTGCTGCTGCTTGCTGCTGCTGCTGCTTGCCTGCTGCTGGTTGCCTGCTGCTGGTTGCCTGCTGCTGCTGCTTGCCTGCTGCTGCTTGCCTGCTGCTGCTTGCCTGCTGCTGCTTGCCTGTTGCTGCTTGCCTGCTGCTGCTTGCCTGCTGCTGCCTCCTGCTGCTGCTGCTTGCCTGCTGCTCGTTGCCTGCTGCTGCTGCTGCTGCTTGCCTGCTGCTTCTTGCCTGTTGCTGCTTGCCTGCTGCTGCTTGCCTGCTGCTGCCTCCTCCTGCTGCTGTTGCTGCTTCCTCCTCCTGCTGCTGTTGCTGCTTCCTCCTGCTGCTGCTGCTGCTGCTGCTGCTTTGTGCTGCTGCCTCCTGCTGCTGCTGCTGCCTCCTGCTGCTGTTGCTTCCTCCTGCTGCTGCGGCTTCCGCCTGCTGCTTCCGCCTGCTGCTTCGCCTGCTGCTGCTGCTTCCTCCTCCTGCTGCTGCTGCCTCCTGCTGCTGTTGCTTCCTCCTGCTGCTGCTGCTTCCGCCTGCTGCTTCCGCCTGCTGCTTCCGCCTGCTGCTTCGCCTGCTGCTGCTGCTGCTTCCTCCTCCTGCTGCTGCTGCCTCCTGCTGCTGTTGCTTCCTCCTGCTGCTGCTGCTTCCTCCTGCTGCTGCTGCTGCTTCCTCCTGCTGCTGCTGCCGCTCGTGCAAACATTTTGCCGAAACAGAAATAACTGTCTCGGTCGCCTTGTTTGGCGCTGACGGGAGGTACGGGCGGGAGACACCAGCAGAGAGAGGGAATGTTTCTGGCTGGTTGGAATGAAACTTTGCGGTCGCATAGCGCGGTTGTGTCGCTGTGCTCACCATCTGCGCCATCTCGCACCATCTCGCAAGACGGCGCAGACGGCAAGACGGCGCAAGACGGAACAGACACAACAGACAGCGCAGACGGAGCACCGACAAAACCTGCCACGCTTTCCGCCCACAATGGAATGAAGGTTTTTTCCCAATTTGTAATTCCTGGGATTCCTGGGTGGATAGGACTTCTTGAGAGCTGTCCACGACATTGATGCACATCGCGCCAGCCATAGATTTGGTTGCGGAAAACAAGGGGCCCCCATATCCTTATATCATCCTAGATCATAGCCCTGCCAATAGGATTTGCTACAGCTAACCCACTTGCATTGCAAGAAATTTGAGGCTGTACCAATAGGGGTTTGATTTGGTCACGCGACGCAGGACATCAATATAATATATTCAAATCCAATAGGATTAGCTGCCGAGAATTTGTTTGTATTAAACTTGGAGGAGGAGTAGTAGTAGTAGTGGTAGTAGTAGTAGTAGTAGTAGTAGTAGTTTTGCGGCCAAGCCAATACGAATTGCGAATTTAACGCTGCTTCCGAATGATGTATGTGGATATGCGCGCGCAAACCTGGCCCTGCTCCCCATGAATCAACGTTGCCACTCACAAAAGCCAATCTTGCTGCTTTCCTGGTTTAGCTGTTTTGCAGAATGCGGAAGTAAGTCAACTTTGATGTCTGGGGGTGCCGGGGGTTGCGCCCAGGGCCGTGTACATTGCCGCTGGCTGTACACATGTCTTTGCATTGCTTGTGGCTGTCAAGGTTCAACTTCGCATGCTTGCTGCAGAACAGCACGGACATCCTTGCACCTTTTGAAGCGTTCCTTGAACGCTGCGACGCGACGTGGGCCCATTTTTGGAGCCGTGGGCCTGCATGCTTTTTGCCCTCCCTCACTGCGTGCTCTGCATGTATGTATAAATGTCTATATTATGTACATGTGTATATATATATATATTTATTTGTTTGTATTTATGTAATTAATGTATGTATGTATGTATGTATGTATGTACGTAGGTATGTATGTATGTATGTATGTATGGATGGATGGATGGATGGATGTATGTATGTATGTATGTATGTATGTATGTATGTATATATGTATATATGTATACTTGTATATATATATATATGTATATTTGAATATATATGTATATATGTATATATGTATATATGTATATATGTATATATGTATATATGTATATATGTATATATGTATATATGTATATATGTATATATGTATATCTATTTGTACGTTTATATAAAGATATATGTTTTTATTTGTGCATATATATATATGTAGATATTGATATTTTTTATATGTATGTTATTTGTTTTTAATGTATCTATAATATATATATACACGTAAATTTAATTGTATACATGTGTATATATATATATATTTAGATAAATGTATGTATATATGTTTGTAAATATGTATATATGTAAATTTAAATATGTATTTATATGTGTAGGTATTTGCATATATATTATATATGTATATGTTTATGTTTTCATATGTATATGCATTTTAAAATTTGTATATCTAAATATGTGCACATATAAGTGAATATTTTAATAAGCCAAATACATATTTTTGTAAATATATGTATTTATGTAAATAGATATAGATAGATATATATATATATAATATACATATGTGTACATATGTATTTACATACATATTTACATACATATTTGTATATATACATATACATATATATACACATACATATATATATATAATAACGTCACCGTTCCTTAGTTTTGACTCCCATGGCTTGCACCTGGAACATTTCACCGGCAGGTTGCTGTGATCATGGGCGCCGATCGCAGAACCAATCCCGCGGAGATCCGGAAGGCGCGAAGCTGAGGGTTGGGGTTGTCATACTGGGTCAGGTCACAATCCTGAATCGATTTGTGCATTATATATAGAATTATATGATCACATATTGTATATCATTATACTGTATCATCATATATTGTAAATAATATATTGTGGTGTGTATATATATAAATACATACATACACACATATATATATATATATAAAAACATACATATATATATATATACATACACGTAAAATGTACTAGTATAAAATGTACTAGTATATCACTGTATATAGTACAATATACATAGACCCAAATGTCTTGGGGTTGCACTGTTGCCAAACAACAACAGGAGCAAAGAAGGTACTGTAATTGGCTTATTCCGTGCTTGAAAGTTGAGGCATGCGGCAACAACACCCTTTTCCCAAGTGTTCATTTGGATTGATCATCGCCTGAGGCGGGGACCTTCAGTACGAAGCCTGCTTTGCCAAGGATAGGCTGACATCTGTGACGCACGCTGCGACAGCCCCAAGTGTCACCTGCGGAGCGAGTGGCATAGCCGACCTGGCCAAAGTAGCAATGGCATGTGGAAGCAGGGTGTCGGTTTGTCTTGTTTTCAAGGCTCAAGACTGGATGAAATGATTGAAATGTACGCCAACATTGATAAAATCCAAGGTTGTTTTTTCAACTAAGACTACGCTGGTGACATTTAGGGCAACACTGGGTCGCTGGATCTCTATATTTAATCCCGAAGAACCGTGCGTTTTTCACTGGAGACCATGCACAGAGCGTGCCTCCGGTACGTGGACTGGAGAAATGAACATCTCCGGTTCCCAACATCGTTGCGCACTTTGATTTCCTCCAAAGGAGGATGTTTTGATATTTGGGTGCTTCTGTTTTGGGTGACCTCAGTAAACCTTCTCCCCAAACAAAGAACAACAGCAGAAGCACCTGCGGGAAAGCTTGGGTTTTCCCTGTGTGCCTCCCATCAGGGGCCATGTGATGGTCTCAGCAAGCACGAGCTGCTGAAATCTGCATGGTGACTCCCTGCCCTACCCACAAGGGTTGGTTCAGAAGTGCTTGTTTGCGGTACTTGGCGTGATCAAAATGTGGCTGCGGCATCCAGAAATTGCTGTTGCCTGTGAATCCTCAGCTGGGTTTGGCTGAAATGACTGGCACTGAAAGTTGCATTAACATCGAAAACCATGGCCAGTTTGGCTCTCAAAAGAGATGAACCACTGGAAATTTGAGCAGATCATCCTTTTGTGGATACCCCGGATACAGCGGTGACAAAGCCACCATTTTTGTGGGTCCCACAGAGGATGGTTCCATGGTGTCGTGCTGGGAGACTGGACACTCAAGGTGCCTGCGTTTCTGGATGGGAATCATCCCAAATGACTAAGAAAACTCAGATTTAATGATCAGAACTCAGCCGTTTATGGTATTTATGAACGTTACGGATAGCTTGTGGAATTCCACAGATTCCGCATTTTGAGAAGCACATTGAATTGCCATGTGAAGGACAACCAGGGAGTGCGGGGTGCTAGTGATCGCTAATGAAGCGAAGTCAGCCTGCATCATTTGATGTGGAAAGCACCCGCTTTCACTGGAACAATGTGACATTGAGCATATATGACACATGCATCCATGAGGCGTGACGCACCGAACCACTAGCAAAAGGTGCCAATGTGTGCACACTTCGGCCACTTTGGCTCAAGAGTAGCTTGACCTAACTTTTTTGGCGTGCTGAGCAAAGACCGTGAAATTGCTATCCGGTTGACAGCCTGCACTGCAATTCGCTTCAGAGGACCTGCAAGGCGACAGGCAAGTGGTGTTGCAGGCAGTTCGACAGCACCCTGCACTGCAGTTTGCTTCGAAGGATCTCCAGAGGAATAATACCATCCTCCAGGAAGCTGTTCAGAACCTTCAAAATGGTCCAGAGATGATCCATTTGCCGATAGATGGGCCCAGGGAAAGTTTCAGGGCCAGAGATTTGTACACACTGCTGTCAGCCAATGAATTAATCCAGGTGCAGCTGGGGCTAGCTGAGCCCAGGATGCAGAATTGCCTGCTGCGAGACATGATGTGGGGGATGATGAACCTTCTGTTGTCTATGAGGATGGCTTTAAGAATTGCTTGCTATGCCGGGCTATGCCCTTGTTGTATCTTGTTGTGTCTTTATAATTCTTTATACCGTGCAGGCATTGCGCAAATTCAGAAGTGTCAGAGTTATGCTCCTATCGTTCGATCCGCTCATTTTGTAGATGCAAGCCAACATATAACCCTGCACATCCATGCCAATCGCAGACACAGGTTTTATGTATGCTGCGTCTAGCATACAGACATGTAAAACTCATGTGAAATTGTGTTGGCCAGACAGCAGTGGGGTTCTTTTGCGGTGCTACTTTCATCCTTTTGGAAGAAAGTCGCCTGCTTGCAGGGAATCCTGCTGTGACAAGCCATCATCCTGCTTCGACTCAATATATACGAGGAAGGACTGGCCAAGTCACCGCAGCTTTCATTGAGCAAGTTCTTCCTGTGATCTTTTGTGATACAAATTCAATCAATGTCAAAGTGATCTTGAGTACACTATGGCCCAAGGTTGGAACTATGTATCCTTGCCATGTCAGTCAACGAATGATGAAGCAAACGTACTAATGAACTCAAACATTGGTAGATGAAGTCCAGAGCATGTCTCCATTGGACCTTGGGCAGGAATGTTGTAGCACGGGCTTTGCACGGCTCTTCCCCACTGCAGACGCTGTGGAGGTCGATTGGGAGGCACGTTTTTTTTTGGACGAGGGCCTGTAGTTGGACGAGCAAGATGGATCTGTTAATGCCAACAGAATCCACATGTCTTATGGTGCAATCTCAGAACGTGGAGCATCATGGATCATTTGCTGCCCTGATGCAAGACATTCCGCGGCCCTTATAGCACTAGAAGCTTGCCCTGAGGATGGATCGCGATGGGCCGCCGGGTGCTAAGACTCACTGGGATCAGTGATTTACCTCCTGAACTTTCGGAAGATAAGAGATACCTACTATATCATATGTATCCTTTTATACAATTTATGAAATAGTAAGACTAATAATAAAAATAATAATAGTATCAGTAAGAATAGTGATAAGAATAACAATAATGATAATAACAACTAATAGTCAATAACTAACAACACTAATAACTAATCACAATAGCAATGACAAGAATGACAAGAATGACAATAATTTTAACACTGATAATGATAATAATGTTAATGACAATAATAGTATTATTAATGAAAGTACGAATGACAATGATATTATATGTATATATATATATATACACCATACACATCTAGTTTTCCAAGTTGCGAGTTGTGACTTGCAAAAGTTGTTTGTGGAACCTGAGACGATGCTGACAGTGACAGCATGATTCAAGAGGATTCAACGAAGCCCTTTCTTGTTTGGCTCAAAGCAATGCTGCAGACATGTTGATTGGTAGACTCATGCAGACCAATTGTTCATGTTCAATCGCCCTTGCAACATCGAACCCCAAACGATGATGCATCAAGCATGCAATCAACTGAACCACCAGACATATAGCATTCAACTCAACCATTTTGCCACACAAACCTGGAGCACCGGCCGAGTTCGCCAGTGCATGGCTAGCTGCGTCGTTCGCAGCTCGGTTCTCTCCATGGGCGAGAAAGGGGTGTCATATAAGAACTTGCCCGGCACAAGGGCTGCAGAGATGTGGAACTGGAACATGCGGCCCTTCGAAGCTTACAATGGTCCGCTGGCCATTTCTGAATACATTCAAGCGCCTTGGTAGCAGATTTGCTCACAGATTCTGGAGTTTTTTTTTGGAAAGTTCCAGTGGAATAGGTGTTACATCCACGTTATTTATGCTACATCTTTGTCTAAAACCTTCTATATCCTTGATGAAGTATCAATATCAACGACATAAATTGCATTTGTGGATGACTAAGACATGAAGACCTAACTCAGAAACAATTTACTACTAGAGCCGCCCACCACTCCTGGAGCCCCCCCCCATTGACCCTACCTTCATTGGGATAGCCTAGACCCCCGAGGCTAGGGTCGATGTCTTGATGCTTTCATTGAGTCCGCAGCTGGAAGAAGCATGTTTAGGTGGATGTAGATATCCAAGCCAGGGGAAGGTAGCCTATTTTTAATCACTTTGTACGTATTAGACAGAGAGCCCAGGGGTCACAGCATAGGATCTCATTCGGTCTAACCCTTCCGACATCGAGAAGATTTGCGAACCACCAAGCCCCGACACGGACATCTTGGCTTGGCAATACGAACACTTACGGCAGTTTGTGCTGGAGCTCAATCTGGTTTTAGTGGCCCTGGCGGGTGAGTGCACGCCGGAGACATGCCCAAAGATGACGGCATCCAATGATTGGCAGTACCTCTGTGCAGCACATCGAAAACCCCAAGACTGTGCGGCCATTCATTACATCACTCACACCATTGATGGCTCCACAGCTCTTCTCACTGCCAGACCCTCTGCATCGAGGGCCGATAGCAATAGTAGCGGCACCAAGCATTTCCAGTCGATGTCGCGACGTCTCTACCGTATTTTCGCTCATGTTTATTTCCACCATCGTGCAACCTTTGACCTGGTTGAGGGCAAGACGCGGCTCTGTGCGAGATTCCAACATTTTGTAATGAGGTTTGAGTTGATGTCCAGATCCATGCTACTTGTTCCTCCAGATTCGATTGCACCGAAGCCTTAATTGAGGTGACAACAAATATAGCTGAGAGCGAGAGAAGATCTTGCGTTCAGCCTATTTGACTCTTTGAGTCGTCCGGTAGTCGAACAAAAAGTGCAGGCTAGAAAGAAGAGGTAAGATTTGTCATTTCTACAGATCCAGCAGTAAGGACTTCCATGGAACTTCCCACGGCACTAAGCACTGCATAGCCAGATCTTGCGATTTTTAGTCCAAGGCTTCCGAGGCCGGGTACGATCCCACTGGGGCTCACCCATCCTTCAGCTCCACTCAACGTGCCTGGGAGGTGACCTGGCACTTCCACATGTTCCACATGTTCCAAATGTTCCAAGATAAACATGAGATAATATGAGATAACATGAGATAACATGAGATAACATGAGAAACATCATCAGAAGCTCTCAAGTTCTTTCAATATTTTTACATTTTCCAGTGGCTCAATAGCCAGGCCAGCATCAGCAACGCATCGATTCGGATGTCCCAGGAGGCGTGAAAAACCTGGAGCATTTAAATGGGATTTAACCAGCAAACATTATGATTAGGATATATATATATATATAATATATATAATATATATATATATTATACATATTTATGTATTATATATATATATAAATATTTATGTATTAGATATACATATTTACTGTATGTATTACATATACATATTTATATATTATATACATATTTGTGCTGACGGACCGTTTACCGTCCAGCGAAATGCAACGTTTTTGTGTTTCCCGTGACCAGTCATGTCTTGTTACCCGTCATGTGACCTTGCACATGAAGTTGATGGGGTGGGGTGGGGTGGGGCATGTTAACGTTCGTTGGAACTTGCACATGACTTTGATGCTACGGGATGAACCTTTCGTTGGACCTTGCACATGACGTTGATGCTACGCGATGAACCTTCGTTGGACCTTGCACATGACTTTGATGCTACGCGATGAACCTTCGTTGGAACTTGCACATGACGTTGATGCTACGTGATGAACCTTCGTTGGACCTTGCACATGACTTTGATGCTACGCGATGAACGGTGGGTTGGGGTGGGGCATGCTAACCCACGGGCAAAGCGCTGCAGAACTTGTAACTACCCAGACCACAGAGCAGCAAAAAATGCCAAGCTGAATGGCATGAAACCAAACCATGCTTTTTTGATGAAGAAATTCTGGTTTCGCTTAGGCGAAACGATCATTTTTATAAAAACACCCGGACGGTAATCGAGCCGGCGGGATATTTGTGTATTATATATATATATTTATATGTATATATTAGATATACATATTTATGTATTACATAGACATATTTATTTATTATATACATATTTATGTATTATATATATATATATGTGCATATATATATACATTATATATACATATTTGTATGTATTATACATACATATTTATGTATTATATATATGTGCATATATATATATATACATTATATATACATATTTGTATGTATTATACATACATATTTATGTATAATATATATATATGTATATATGTATATATGTATATATGCATATATGCATATTTATGTATTACATAATATATGCATATTTATGTATTATATATACACATGTGTTACACTGTATATATATATATATATGTATTTTATATTATATACATATCTGAATATAATGGCATGTATTGCCATCAATGATACAATTAATTATGAGGGTGTCTGAAAATTGGGTATACCGGAAAAATGCAGTTTGAATCTGGATCTCATTCTTTTGACCCTACAGATTATTTTCCGATTAACCCACATGAAATGCGTAATAGGGTCGTCCTCAAATAGACGGAAACGTATGCACACAGAAAATCATCTACAGTATATAAGCCAATTAGGGAATTCATATCATATCCCTTTCTACTCAGAGTAACTGTAAGATACTGTAATGGTACACAGCAACACGTAGCACCTTCTCCCTGGGCCATTTCCAGGTCTTAGGACATCACTTGGAATTTATGGCTGCTCGGAGCCTCTGGAACATGTAGCAAGATGGCTTCACTGCTTCTCTGTATTTTGAAAACTGCTTCACTCTCTGAAATTTGCTCTTTTCTGATTATTTGGACAGACTTGGATTCAATCTCTCTGAAACAGCTCTGAACCGAAATCTCTTCAAGTTAGTTCAATGGCGCTTGGATGATCATTTTCACCATTAAAATGGCCCATGGCACACCATGGCATACTGAAGCAGTCCCCCAGCTGTTAAGTTTCCGCTGAGTTCAAACGCTCGGGGCCAGCTTTGGGCAAAGTACTCGAAGAACTGAGTCTGAAACCAAACTGCAGCACTGCAGAACAGCTTGATCTCAAGCCATTGGGGATGGACCTGACACTTCGAAACTGGGATGGAATGGGTTGTTCCACATTTTGGGGCAACCCCAGATGGTTTCCAATGGTTTCCTATCGTTTCCTTGCAAGATGGAACAAAATGAAATCAAATGCGTTCAAATGCAAGGTTTACACATGTTTGTAACATTTTGATCAACTTTCTTAGCGCATGGAAGCTGCAAAATGAGCTTGAAGCCCTTGAGCCTGGCTAAGGCGAGGACCTCTACCGACTAGGTCATGTAGAGCTACTGAAGAACCAGGCACAGGATCCACGGGATACATCAACAGCCAGATCTTGGTGCTAATGATATGGCGGTCTCCTCCGGATGTTGGGAATGTGCCAGGCACCGTCGGCAGTGGCCGTTGATGTGGGTGCCTCGTGGACAGCTAAGTCTGAACTTGTCTGCAGGTTGATGAGGATCTTTCTCAAACAGCTCACTCTTTGCTTCGGGTAAAGTACAAACTTCAAGCGTTAGTCTTCAGGATCGGCTTAGTCTCCGTGCTCTTGTGCAAGCTATGGGCCGCAAACTTAGTCTGCACTGTCGCGAGCCGCCATTGGTCTCTAGCTCTTGGCAGTGGCTCAGAACTGTTCCCCGTCAGATGAAATGGAGAGCTGGCGTTCCACTTAGGAATAGTATGTGTGGATATGATCTGGGTCAAACTTAGACACCTCATGATACCTGTAATACATCAAAGATCATCAAAGAATGGGATGGTTCACTACTGAACAAAGCTTTTGTCCCTTGGTGTGGGTCTTCAATTTTGATAGCCATACCATGACCGATTCGACGAATCGACTCCAGGCAGGTGCGCGAGTGGTGGCGATGGAGCCTGCACCGCCCAACTTCCGATACTTGCTGTGGAATCTGCGGGTACGCTGAGTGGAGCTGGCGACGGGGCTGTGCAAATCAGTGTTGAGCTGTGGAAGTTTCGAGGGAATCACTAGAAGAGCCGGCATGTTTAAAGGGAAGTAGTCATAGAAACAAATCTCGAATTTGTATGATTTGTATGAAATGGTCAGTCACTGCATCTAGATACGGGCCAGCGTTCCTTCTTCTCCCACTCAGATCAATCATGTGACGGACTGCGCCGCGATCCTAGAATCAGTGTTGCTTGTTGGGTTGATTGGCTTTGTGAAGGCTTGAGCATCCATCAGCTTGAATTAGACTTCAGACAGTCAAAGCAGATATGTTTGAATTCCCCAACACGGCTTACCCCAAGCCTGTTCTTCATCACTTCATAACAAGCATCGGTGAGTTTCAAGGCTTGACAAGTGATACTTGATGTCAGCCATTGTCAGCCCCAAATTACGTTCAAAGTCCTCTGTGCTTCCAATGGTGGCCCACTACCAGGCATAATTTTTTCTGCCGGATTTCAACTTCCCAGAGCTGCGGGCAAGTCATCAGCAGGGGCACTTCAGGTGTGGCCTTTGAATGTTGCTGCGGGGGCTTCTCCATCACCAGAACGTCACTTCTTCTATTCCCCCACGTGCGCCAAACAGGTGAAAAGGATGGCATCTCTGGTCGATTTTTGAGCTGAAACACCAAGCACTTCTGTTCTCAGGACTTGAAGTTATGGTATCCTGGTGTGTCCTGCGTTGCCTCGGCGGAACTCTTCGGAGTTCATCTGCCGGAGGTATCCGACGTGGTCCCAATATTGCCAGGAGGATTGTCAAGATGATGATGACTCCTGGCGTGGCGGGTGTGGACACCTGGATCTGCGGGGCACGTGGACGGGGCCACCCAACAGAGAACATTTGGGAAAGCCCACGGTTATCACAGATGGAGTGACAGATATTATGATAGTAGTATTAGTATGTATTAGTGTATTATTCGAAGGAAGTTTAGAAGTCAAACTTCCGACAATGTGGACAGATGAAAAGCAGAGCAGGGCAGAGGCAGAGAGAAGAGAAAGATTAGAAGAGAGAAGATCAGAGAAGAGAAAGAGTCAGAAGAAAGAAGATGCAGATGCGCGAAAAGGTAGGAAAGTCGCGAAACACTGTGTTTTTCCAATGATTTGTGGCTCCGGAGGGTCGAAAAGTAGGCTTGCTAAAGCGGCGGGTGCGGAGCCAGCTGGCCAGATGAGAGATGAAAAATGCACGCCGTTGTAGCGCGAAGCACATTTCGAAGTCAAAATGTACAAAACACCTCAGCCTCAGACCACTTTTGGAAGTTGAGATGTCGAAAAAGTGCACGCCGTTGTGGCACGAAGCAGATTTCGAAGTCAAAAAGTTAAAAACACTAGGGGTTCGGACCACTTTTGGAAGTTCAGATGTCGAAAAGTGCACGCCGTTGTGGCGCAAAGCACATTTCGAAGTCAAAACGTTAAAGACACCAAGGATTCGGACCACTTTTGGAGGTTCAGATGTCGAAAAAGTGCACGCCGTTGTGGCGCGAAGCACATTTCGAAGTCAAAATGTTAAAAACACGAGGGGTTCGGACCACTTCTGGAGCTTCAGATGTCGCTTCGCTTCGCTTCACTACACTACACTACATTACACTACACTACACTCCACTACACTACACTGCACTACACTACATTACACAACACTACAACTACACAACTACACAACTACACTCCACTACACTCCACTACACTAAATTACACTACACTACACTACATTGCACTACACTACACACTGCACTACCTTCCACTACACTTCATTACATTACACTACACTACACTCCACTACACTACAACTACAACTACACAACTACACTCCACTACAATACACTCCACTACACTCCACTACACTAAATTACACTACACTACACTACATTACACTACACTACACTCCACTACACTACACTACATTACACTACACTACCTTCCACTACACTTCACTACATTACACTACATTACACTACACTACAACTACACTACGACTACACAACTACACTCCACCACACTCCACTACACGAAATTACACTACACTACACTACATTACGCTACACTACACACTCCACTACACTACACTACATTACACTACACTACATGACACTACACTACATTACACTGAATGACACTGCACCACAGATAGACAGGTAGACAGATAGACAGACAGACAGACAGATAGATAGATAGATAGATAGACAGATAGATAGATAGACAGGTAGACAGCTAGACAGGTAGACAGATGAAAGAGAGAGAGAGAGAGATAGATAGATAGATAGGTAGATAGGTAGATAGGTAGATAGGTAGATAGGTAGATAGGTAGATAGGTAGATCGGTAGATGGGTAGATGGGTAGATGGGTAGATGGGTAGATGGGTAGATGGGTAGATGGGTAGATGGGTAGATGGGTAGATGGGTAGATGGGTAGATGGGTAGATGGGTAGATGGGTAGATGGGTAGATGGGTAGATGGGTAGATGGGTAGATAGGTAGATAGGTAGATAGGTAGATAGGTAGATAGGTAGATAGGTAATTGGGAGAGAGATAGATAGATCGATAGATAAATAGATACATAGAAGATAGGTTGGTAGGTGAGTAGACAGCCAAAGAAAGAGAGAGAAAGAGAGGAGACCTCAAGCACCTTTCGGTCCATCAGTGGATTCGCTCTGCCATCCCTGATTCACAACAACCAATTTCTCCTATAGGTTTCCAATTTTTGAAACTTCCGCCGCCGCCTTGTGCGGTACTACTGGTATTGATACATTATAGATTCTAGGTATTAGATATAGTAGTAAACCATCTCATATAATTCTGATATCCCCCAATTGAGACCTACTCAGACTTGAGGCAACTTTGCTAGTGTCTTTTCCTAGGGGTAGAATGTCGAAGGCGCCGCTGGGCCGAGGTACACAGATTGGCAGTTGCGTTTCTCTGCACCAGTTGTGAGTCTGGCAGAGGTGGTTTGGGCGTTGGAAGCCTCAGATCAAACTGTGAATGATCTTCGCATCAGGTAGATGGCAGAAGGGGTCACAGGAAGCTGTCTGAAAATAAAGATCTGTCCCTGGCTACTCATGTCCGAAAATGATATTCTTGCATGTGAGGGTAGCTAAGAGACAAGTTTCCCAGTGAGCAACAATTGGGAAAAGAAAAGCTTGGAATACTCATGGGCCTACAAACTTGTTATTCTTGGGTTTCAGAGCCCATCCTATTTGGGGATCTTCAAGATTAGTAGTACTGTGTTGGCTAGCTTAGCCTGCTTCTGTGTGCCAGCCATTGGGCTTGTAACGTAGAAACTAGTTCGCATCGAACACATCCGTTGTGTTGCAAGGCTTGGCTTCAACCGCATAGATTTCCTCAAGGTGCGAAGAAAGTGTCGACTCATTCTGCATTCCAGACTTCCGTTGCACTTGCCAACGATCCTCAATTTAGATGTAGCAGGGAAATGCAGGTAACACGACCGAGATGATCGAGATCAACGGATCAGGGGTAAGGATCGAAAGTGACTCTGCTTTTGCTGCCCAATGTCACCAATGTCATCAATGTCACCAATGTCCTGACATAGTCCTGATATTTCGATGTGAAACCTTGGCAAGGTCGACTGTGAAGGCTGCGAGTGGGAGATCTTTGCTCCGCATGCTTGGGAGCCGGGCTGCGGTGGGTTCAGTCTTGGTCATTGCGAGAACATGCGAGAACACCGTTGCATTTTCGCATATCTTTTTGCACTGAATTTGACGAAGATATATGGGCACAGACGCAGAATGCTGTGGCAAGCCTTTGGACGACAAATGGTTCGGCAAAATAGATTGGTTTGTTTGGTACAGAGCTAGGGTAAAAGCGAGAAGTTGTAGCCTTGCCTAATTATTTCGGGTCCAAGAAGGTCCTCATTAACCCGTAAGGATGACCATTTGGGCTAAAATCGATTCCCCGATTGCTGGAAGTCTCGTCCATATGGGAGGAGCGTCTCCGACACCGCATCAGATATGCCCAGCCGGCCTGATTTCTTTGATTTGAGGTGTGCAGGAGAATTCTCTTGTGTCTGGAAAGTGCACCAAACACTGTATAGCGATAGGGTCTCCCCAAAAGCGATACCTATATAAATTGTATACAAGTGTGCATAATGTCCGCATCTGAAGTTGTTTTACACAAAGTTGCGTACATGCAAGAGGCGAAATTAGCAATACCTTAGCGATACCTTTGCGATACCCATTTGTTCAAGAAGTAGCCCCAGACCACAAATAGATACTTGCCTTCTTTCCTTTCCTCCTTTCATTTACTCTTTCTTTCCTCCTTTCCTTTCCTCTTCCTCTCCTCCTTTCCTTTCCTCTCCCTTTCCTCTTCCTTTCCTTCTCTTTTCCTTTTCCCTTCTTTCCTCTTCCGTTCCTTTTCCTTTCCTTCCAGGGGTATCGACAGGGCCCCCCAAAAGCGATACCTTTTTTGGGAGCTTAGCGAAGACAATGATTTTTGACAACGGTTCACTTTATGGGCTTGAAACAACCAACACATGGAGATTTAACCAGCCAAAAAAAAATCAGAAAGTGATCAAACATGGGGGAATCATCCTTCAAATGATAATTAACATAGACCCGGGCAAGCCGGCGGCGGAAGTTTCCCAAACATAAATGACCTATAGTTCAAAGACAACCTGTCCCGACCGTGTCCTTCCCTCGACACTCCACACCTCACACTGCACACTGCACTCTTCGCACTCCAAACTTCAAACTTCCCACTCCACACTTCACACTCCACACTTCTCACTTCTCACTGCTTCCTTCACACTCCAAACCTCACACTTCACACTTCACACTTCACACTGCACACTTCACACTTCACAGTCCACACTTCACACTTCACACTTCACAGTCCACACTTCTCACTTCGCATTTCACACTTCACACTCCACATTTCACACTTCTCACTTCTCACTGCTTCCTTCACACTCCAAACTTCACACTTCACACTTCACACTTCTCACTTCGCACTTCACACTCCACACTTCACAGTCCACACTTCACACTTCTCACCTCACACTTCTCACTTCTCACTGCTTCCTTCACACTCCAAACTTCACACTTCTCACTTCGCACTTCACACTCCACACTTCACAGTCCACACTTCACACTTCTCACTTCTCACTGCTTCCTTCCGACTCCAAACTTCACACTCCAACACTTCACACTTCTCACTTCGCACTTCACACTCCACACTTCACTCACACTTCACACTTCACAGTCCACACTTCACACTTCTCACTGCTTCCTTCACACTCCACACCTCACACTTCACACTTCACACTGCGCTCTTCGCACTCCACACTGCACAGTCCACACTTCACACTTCTCACTTCACACTTCTCACTTCTCACTGCTTCCTTCACACTCCAAACTTCACACTTCTCACTTCGCACTTCACACTCCACACTTCACAGTCCACACTTCACACTTCTCACTTCTCACTGCTTCCTTCCCACTCCAAACTTCACACTCCAAACTTCACACTTCACACTTCTCACTTCGCACTTCACACTCCACACTCACTCACTCACCCTTCACACTTCACAGTCCACACTTCACACTTCTCACTGCTTCCTTCACACTCCAAACCTCACACTTCACACTTCACACTTCACACTGCGCTCTTCGCACTCCAAACTTAAACTTCACACTCCACACTTCACACTTCACACTCCACACTTCACACTTCTCACTTCCCACTGCTTCCTTCACACTTCACACTTCACACTGCACTCTTCACGCCCCACACTTCACACTGCTCTAAACGTACGTCCAACAAAAAAACACTAGTGCCAAAATGGAGAAAATCTGCTAACAAATCCATTGTCGCAGCCTTCATGCAGCCACTCCAATACGATTTACGAGATCCAGCTGCAAAAGACAATAGTATTACGAATGCAGCCACAGCACGAAGCAACCTTGACGCAGCCATTACAATGCGATCTGCAGAGACTGAGTTGCAAAGCACAATAGAACTACGCGCAACGGCGTCCGAAATTGTAGCTCCAAAACCGGATCTCGACGCCAGAGCGAAAAAAAGACGATTTTGAAGCACTTTTTAAAAGATTTTTAGAAGGAAAATCATTAGCGCCAAAATGGAGAAAATCTGCTGACAAATCACTGTGGCAGCCTTCATGCAGCCACTCCAATACGATTTACGAAATCCAGCTGCAAAAGACAAATAGTATTACGAATGCAGCCGCAGCACGAAGCAACCTTGACGCAGCCATTACAATGCGATCTGCAGAGATTGAGTTCCTAAACACAATAGAACTACGCGCAACGGCGTCGGAAATTGTAGCTCCAAAACCGGATCTCGACGCCAGAGCGAAAAAAAGACGATTTTGAAGCACTTTTTAAAAGGATTTTTAGAAGGAAAATCACTAACTAGCGCCAAAATGGAGAAAATCTGCTGACAAGTCACTGTGGCAGCCTTCATGCAGCCACTCCAATACGATTTACGAGATCCAGCTGCAAAAGACAATAGTATTACCAATGCAGCCACAGCAATGAAGCAACCTTTCCATTTACACTGCGGGAACGATCCTACAGTTGCAAAGCACAATGGAATTCCATCGGCAACTCATCCACCAGCACCACTTGCAATCCCATTTACATGAGGGAACGATCCTAGAGTTGCAAATCACAATGGAATTCCATCGGCAACTCATCCACCAGCACCACTTGCAATCCCATTTACATTGCGGGAACGATCCTACAGTTGCAAATCACAATGGAATTCTGTCGACCGCACATGGACGAAACACAGTTGAAACCGCATTTACAATGCGGAACCGATCCGAGACCGATCCGAGAATGATCCGAGACCGATCCGACCACACACGAGACCGTCTCGCAACCGTCGCACCGCAGAGGTAGATCATCGAGGTTCGGGGACGGACTTTGTATGGAAAAACATAGGGTTTCGTGCATCTGCTATCTCTCAAAAACGCATTTCGTGCGAGACTTCCTCCAAAACTCCATCGGCAACTCCTCCACCAGCACCACTTGCAATCCCATTTACAGTGAGGGAACGATCCTACAGTTGCAAATCACAATGGAATTCTGTCGACCGCACATGGACGAAACACAGTTGAAACCCCATTTACAATGCGGAACCGATCCGAGACCGATCCGAGAATGATCCGAGACCGATCCGACCACACACGAGACCGTCTCGCAACCGTCGCACCGCAGAGGTAGATCATCGAGGTTCGGGGACGGACTTTGTATGGAAAAACATAGGGTTTCGTGCATCTGCTATCTCTCAAAAACGCATTTCGTGCGAGACTTCCTTCAAAACTCCATCGGCAACTCCTCCACCAGCACCACTTGCAATCCCATTTACAGTGAGGGAACAATTTCTTTGCTAACTCTTTCTGTGACTAACTCTTTTCCTCACTAACTCTTTCTTTGACTAACTTGTTTCTTTGCTAACTCTTTCTTTGACTACCTCATATATCCTGACTAACTCTTTCTTTGACTAACTCTTTCCCTCACTAACTCTTTCTTTGACTAACTCTTTCCCTGACGAACTCTTTCTTTGACTAACCCTTTCTGACTAACTGTTTCTTTGCTAAACTAACTCTTTCCCTCACTAACTCTTTCTTTGACTAACTCTTTCCCTGACTAACTGTTTCTTTGCTAACTCTTTCTTTGACTAACTCTTTCCCTCACTAACTCTTTCTTTGACTAACTCTTTCCCTGACTAACTCTTTCTTTGACTAACTCTTTCCCTGACTAACTATTTCTTTGCTAACTCTTTCTTTGACCAACTCTTTCCCTCATTAACTCTTTCTTTGACTAACTCTTTCCCTGACTAACTGTTTCTTTGCTAACTCTTTCTTTGACTAACTCTTTCCCTCACTATCTCTTTCTTTGACTAACTCTTTCCCTGACTAACTCTTTCTTTGACTAACTCTTTCCCTGACTAACTGTTTCTTTGACTAACTCTTTCTTTCACTAACTCTTTCTTTGACTAATTAACTCTTTCCCTGACTAACTGTTTCTTTGCTAACTCTTTCTTTGACTAACTCTTTCCCTGACATTCTAAAAGTCCGTAACACGGAAGTTTCTCCCCCTAAACTTCCTTTGAATATCAACCAATGATTTCAGCAATGCATGACGGGCACACTGTTGATGACTGGGATCTCATAGCCAAAGGGCTTTGACATGAGGTTGCCACCGAACTGCACCAATGGGCACTTCCAACCGATGCTGAGAGAGGTGCGAAGCGCTTGGTTTAGGAAATGCAGGCAGACAATTCCAACACCTGGAAGGTGGTTCCAATTTGAGCAGAAAAACTAAAGTCTTGAAATACACAATGAGAATCAATGAGAGAATCTGATCTGATTATGCAAGCGCATAACAAATCATAACAACATCTCCCCTTTGCGAGTCAGCCCCAGGTTTGGAGGCCTCAGTCCGGGGGTGAGGTCCTCAGATTTCTCACCCGGACATCGGACGGGAGCCTTGGCTGATGCCCTTAAGGTTTGTGTGCAGACATGAAGTCGTGAGGGAGAACTTCCTGTGCTCAACAATGTGAGTGCGCACTGAAAAATGCAAGTTTGCTGAACTGGCTGAACTCGGCGCATTGCAAGCTACTTACTGATGCTGATAAGACTTTTAAGGGTAACAACTTGATCCAACATGAATTTGGCCAAATGCAGCTTCATTGGCTTGGCTTGACTGGATGACTTTTCCTATTCAAATCAGGTAATATGGTAGCTGCGTTCGAGGACCCAAAGTTGCTGTCAATCCGGGGAATTCTGATCAAAAGGCAAAGGAAGATTGAGCTATCTGCTTTTTGCGGCGAGCTGTGAAATGTCTGGCTGTATCGCTAGCCAGCACTCTGATATTGCATCCCATCAAATGCGCGTGCATCCTTTCTCAGTCAAGGTAGTGTCGGTGTTTGGTTTTGTTTCCAGTTCAATATCGCAAGCGCTGCTTCCTACCTATATAACCGCCTTCGAGTAGTGCCATGGAGCTCAATGGAACAGTGAAAGCTTTCAACCCACACAAGGGCTGGGGATTTGTGGAGTGCAATGGTCAGGACATGTTCTTGCACAAGAAGGACCTGAAGGGGTTCTGCCCATCGAAAGGTGACCAGGTGCAATTCACAGTCGGCCAGACTGAGAAAGGAGCCGTGGCAGAAAATGTGAAGGTGGTCTCTGCACCCGAGGAGACTGCCTACTACGGTCAAATCAAGAGCTACAACCCAAGCAAAGGCTTCGGCTTCATCTCTGCTGAAGCATTCCCTGACCAAGATGTCTTTGTGCTGCGGTCTGAGCTTCCCGGTGGATTTGGTCCTGAGGGAAGCCCTTGCAAGTTCAACGTCTCTATGGACGAGAAAGGCCCAGCCGCCAAGAAAGTGATGCTCCTGGGTGCGGCAGGCAGTCAGATTCAGCAGATGAAATGGATGATGGGCTATGGCGGCGGCTGGGGCAAGGGCATGGGCATGGGCAAGGGCTTTGGAAAGGGCAGTGCCGACAAGACTTGTTGGGACCTGAAGAAGAATGGCTCTTGCCAACGCGCAGCTGAGGGCAAATGCCCATGGGAGCCCTGCAATGGAAAGCCTGCTGAAGCTTGAAGCTCTAAGCTCCAAGGCTGGCATGTAGAAAAGTAGCTGCATTTGTATTGGAAAATCCTCTGACCATCTGCCATGTGTCCTAGTTTTGTCTCAGCAGTTCGTGGTACCGTTTAAACTCAGGGGAAAAAGTGTTCCAAGCTTGCAGCGTCATGCTTGCAGCGTCATGCTTGCAGTTTCATCGCAGAGAGTTGCATGTCGCCCAGGACACCAAGTGTCGTGACTTTTGCACGAACGAGAAACGACCAAACTACATAGAAGAGACGAGAGCTTCACAAACGAAAGGATTCTGATCAATAGGCAAGGAAGATTGAGCCATCTGTATGCGCGTGCATCCTTTCTCAGTCAAGGTAGTGTCGGTGTTTGGTTTTGTTTCCAGTTCAATATCGCAAGCGCTGCTTCCTACCTATACAACCGCCTTCGAGTAGTGCCATGGAGCTCAATGGAACAGTGAAAGCTTTCAACCCACACAAGGGCTGGGGATTTGTGGAGTGCAATGGTCAGGACATGTTCTTGCACAAGAAGGACCTGAAGGGGTTCTGCCCATCGAAAGGTGACCAGGTGCAATTCACAGTCGGCCAGACTGAGAAAGGAGCCGTGGCAGAAAATGTGAAGGTGGTCTCTGCACCCGAGGAGACTGCCTACTACGGTCAAATCAAGAGCTACAACCCAAGCAAAGGCTTCGGCTTCATCTCTGCTGAAGCATTCCCTGACCAAGATGTCTTTGTGCTGCGGTCTGAGCTTCCCGGTGGATTTGGTCCTGAGGGAAGCCCTTGCAAGTTCAACGTCTCTATGGACGAGAAAGGCCCAGCCGCCAAGAAAGTGATGCTCCTGGGTGCGGCAGGCAGTCAGATTCAGCAGATGAAATGGATGATGGGCTATGGCGGCGGCTGGGGCAAGGGCATGGGCAAGGGCAAGGGCTTTGGAAAGGGCAGTGCCGACAAGACTTGTTGGGACCTGAAGAAGAATGGCTCTTGCCCGCGCGCAGCTGAGGGCAAATGCCCATGGGAGCCCTGCAATGGAAAGTCTGCTGAAGCTTGAAGCTCTAAGCTCCAAGGCTGGCATGTAGAAAAGTAGCTGCATTTGTATTGGAAAATCCTCTGACCATCTGCCATGTGTCCTAGTTTTGTCTCAGCAGTTCGTGGTACCGTTTTAAATTCAGGGGAAAAAGAGTTCCAAGCTTGCAGCGTCATGCTTGCAGCGTCATGCTTGCAGTTTCATCGCAGAGATTTGCGTGGGTCCAGTCACAGGCCAATGCATTCACGATTGAGCTTCTTGTTCAGATTTGTTATTAATTTAGGTTTGTTTGGAACTAGGGTACCAGGATCTCTTGAGAACAGCTTAATTATGCGTAATTTAACAGCCATAAATTGGATGCCCATCCCCGTTTCTTTGACATTTCCAGCTCGTTTCTTTGCTGAATGCTCCACTTGGCAGATCTTCCAAAGGCTCAAGTCACTCTGCCATGCCGCGTGAACTCTTGCACTGCTGAACTGTGCGGTGCGGCGTGGGAGACCACGACCATAAAAAGAAAAGGGATGTCAGGTGGGCAGTGTGGTACAAGCGGTTCATGTCAGGTCTGGATGCTTTGGGAAGAAACACGTTTTGAAAAGTCTCTGAAAAGATTGAGGTGGATTTCTGAGCAACTACCAACACAAAAACATGTTTTTCACTGGAAGATCCTGCATTCCAACGGGGTCCCGGCCCCTTCTGTGGCTCTGCTAGGCAATGGCATGTTTCAGCTGATGTCCGGCATCGTATGCAGCTCAGATCCACTGTTGTCAAAGGGTCGGAGATTCAATGGTGTTCAACACGGACTGAACTTGCCATAATAATGAAAAGAGCCCGCCAATGTACATTGCGTTTTTGATTCTTTGTCATCCCTTGCCCCAAAATATCAGGTCCCTGCAAACAAATCCATGGTTGAGAGTATTGGGTCTATTTATTCTGGGGTTCGTTATTGTGGATATTGTTCAATTTTAGGGGGGTGGAATTGAGTCATACACATACGTAATATACACGAATGTATGTGGGTTTGTCTGAAAGTAGTGTACACCCAAATCCATTGGATTATTATTTTCCGATTAAAATAGCCATAACTGGGGGTGTGCCCCATGTTCAAACATATCTATTGAAGACTGTACCCTCTGGTAAGCTAACAAGCCATTCAACATGGCCATTTATAGTTGATTTACCTACCAAAAATTGTGGTTTTACATTATCAGATTGGTGATATTCCATTATATACCCAGTATATCCCCATGATTGGTTGTTTATCCCCCCGTTTTCACCATAAATCTCTTCCCCATGCCGTCTCGGCTGCCGTGGATTGGCAGGTCGGGTCCACAGGAGATGCCACCGGCCGCATGGAGAAATTCACGGAGCTGGTGCGGTTTCTGCCGCCATTTTTCGTGGTCCAAAAATGGGCCGATCCAAAAATGGGTTCCATAAATGGTGGTACTGGTATGTACTGGTGGTACTGGCCCCATTTTCTGGATGGTTGATATATGTTGATATATACCATGGAACATCCATGGATTATGAGGAGGGGTAGCTCATAATATGGACACCCCGTATGTAGGCTTGAGATGCTAGGCTGTTTTGGGTTGATCCAGCAGTATCACGCTCTTGACACTGCAGGTGAACATCTGAGACTTCTTTGTTTCTCATTGTGCAATTTCTTTGAGAGCGATGCCCATGTCGTATGAGGTTGTCTCAAAATGTGGAACCCCATTCCACTCCAGATGTTAAGAACATGGCTTTCTAGATCAAAATGGCCATAAATTGGGCCAGGTGAGAAGCCTTGTGGACCAGCATGATGTGCAACAGCTGAAGGAGCCATGGCAGCCATGGTGGTGGAGCGGTGCATCCAATTTTGGTACTTTGATATCTTGGATACTCCTTGGATACTCCTCGGATACTCCTCTGCAAGTACCATTTTTTCCTTCAGTTTCAACTTGTAGGTCAGAACTGAGTCAGACCCTTTGGTATGTTTCCGGCTGTTTCCATCAGGTTTCATGGCTGGTTTTATTGCCTGGATAGGTTGAGAAAACAAGCTGAAGCCATCTGAAGCCACTGTTCAGTGCAGTGCCATGTCCTCAAACCTGCCTGCGACAGGATTTGGTAGACTGCATGCTGGCGGAGGAGCCAAATCCTGATGCTTCCTAGAGGGATGTGTGCGTAGCACACACATCATATATATATATGTATAATATTATATTATATATGTGTGACGTGTGTGTATATATATGTAAACCGTAGACATCGCCTATGTACATATACATATATAGTGTACTATACTGACCTATACTACGTGATACGCTATGTATATTATTATGATATTTGTATAATATGTATTTGCCAGGAATCCAGCTTCGCCCTTTTTGCACGCCCAGTGCTGCAGCAGGCGCGGTAGAAAAACAACGCCTACGGGAGAACTGGTTGTCACTATGGAACCGAAACAGTAGATCGTGATTAGGTCGATGATCATTGTGAAAATTATGATATATATATATAATTCACTGATTTAGTGGATGACTGTTATCATTATCATTTACTAGATGAGAATTAAAAATTGAACGTTGAATGATGAACCCATAGGTCGCCGAGAAGATGGAGAAGCTGAAGAACTCCGAACTGAAGGCGCCACAGCGATGGCAAGTCCGGGCCATTCCAGGGGAAATCTCGGATGGGACTTTAGTACGCCAAGCTTTTGCCATAAATGGATGTGTGTGTACATATATCTATATATGTATATGTATATATAGATATATGTATGTATATATGTATATATATATATGTATGTTTATGTATGTATATATATATATATATGTATATATATATGTATGTATGTATGTATGTATGTATGTATATATTATATATGTATATATCTATATGTATGTATGTAGATATATGTATGTATATATATATGTATATGTATATATATGTATGTATGTATGTATGTATATATAATTATGTATGTATATATGTATATATATATGTATATATATATATATGTATGTATATATATAATATATATATGTATGTAAATATATATTTGTATGTATATATGTATATGTATATATATATGGATGCATATAGATATTTATATGTATATATATGTATGTAAATATATATGTATAGATGTATATTTATATGTATGTATATATATAAGTATATATATATATGTATATATATATGTATATATATATATATGTATATATATATGTAAATATATATATATATGTATGTATGTACGTACGTACGTACGTACGTATGTATGTATGTATATATGTATATATATATATATGTATGTATATTAAAAAATGTATATATATGTATATATATATACGTGTATGTATATATGTATGTAAATATATATGTATGTATATATATACATATACGTATATGTATATATGTATATATATTTCTGTATGTATATGTATATATATGTATGTATGTATGTATGTATGTATGTATGTATATATTATATATGTATATATCTATATGTATGTATGTAGATATATGTATGTATATATATATGTATATGTATATATATGTATGTATGTATGTATGTATGTATATATAATTATGTATGTATATATGTATATATATATATGTATATATATATGTATGTATATATATAATATATATATGTATGTAAATATATATTTGTATGTATATATGTATATGTATATATATATACATATGTGTGTATATATATGTATATATATATATGTATATATATATACACATAATAACCAGCAAAGACAACCTGCAGGGTGTCCAGGTATCCAAGATTGGGCATGTTTATATTATAAGCAGTTTCAGGCTTAACCCCAACGCCTCAATTAATTCCAGTAGGACTTTCTTAAACCAGAGAAAAACGGCTGGATCCTTTATTGTAGAGTCCATGGTGGAGTGTACTTGAAATGTCAGCTTGTCTAAAAATGGGCAACTTTCCACTGGTTGATCATCATATTGCCAATGAAAAAGTATTGAAGGCGCACACACACACACACTATCCCCATGCTTGCCATATATCTAGGGATGCATCCCATGGCTTCCCATATCAACATGGCCATCAGTTGGGGTCAATCTCCCATTGAACTGGAGAAGGTGGACACATTTTCCAATTTTTGAAGGGAACATCTACAGTTTTTTTCCCCCCACCTCCAAAAAAAGAGCCTTCACCTGTTTCAAGTGTAATTTTTTACATAGTTTTCCCACTATCCAATTTTGGAAATATCCATTTGTTACAGCTTTCCAGCTTTCAGCAACCAGGAGTTAGCTCGCCATACCTTAGACCGCCTGCGTGGCCGGGTTGTTTCCTTTGAGGAGGAGGTTAGGGCCAGGGCACTGGTCACAGCTGCTGAAGTCTGAGAGCCCTGTGCACATGACCAATTTCTGGAATCTCAGAAAACGTCGATGGTACTTCTCCAGGGTTTGCACAACAAAACAAACCGTGCTGAAATGTTCTCCAAGATTGCGCTCCAAGAAACCTTTTCCCCCCCGCTATGGTTTGCCAGTATTCAAAAATTATCCTCGGACATGCTCAAATACCTGCGCCGGGCCAGTGTTTTGGTATTTCCCAGATGACGAACCCTAACCCTGAAACCCCAAACCCTAAAGCCCCAAAACCCAAAGCCCTGAAAACTCTGAAGCCTAATCTGCAATCTCTCTTATAATGTTCGACAACAGGGCATCCTGAATGTTGCAGTCTGGGCAAACCACGGGGTCTGTGCGCAGTATTAGATACCCTCCGACAGGACTTCGTGATGCGAGAACTTCTGTCTGAAGTCTTCCAAGCCGAAGGGGTGAGGTGCTCGGAAGGAGTATCCATCCAGCGGTGGGTTGGTGGTGAAGCAACAAAGGCGGAGCAAGGAGGATTTGACCCAACAGACTTGGGGATTTCACCACTTTCAAAAACGAACGGAATGGTTGGTAAGTCCCCCAAACCGGTATTACGCCATTGGTATATATACATAGGTACTGTAGCAGCTTTGCAACTATATATGGTTCCGAGGACTGGGCTGAGGCAGCAAAATGTTTGGCTGCAATCAACCTCGAGTCAGGACCCGCAAACTGAGAAGTGGACAACACGTTTTGTTTTTGCGTTTGGAGCATCACAAAAAGATAGGGGTTGGAGCACCCATTGAGCTTGGAACCCCATCAACCATCCCACAGCCTGTTGAAACACATTTTTTCGGGGTATCCCTGGCTGGGTTTGAATGCCATCGTTGATCAGCAGTACATTGATAGAAGCCTGCGCTTGAGCCATACCGTACTCATTTTGGACCATCCTATATTAGTGTGTCAGAGTCCAACCCTTTCCAAAGTTAGTGTGGCAAGAGGTTTGTTTGTCTGTTTTTCCCCATGATCCAATGGCAATTTGGCCCATCCCCCATGCTTGTGACAAGAGGAACTCGGTGTAGGACTCCGCTTCAAAAGGCCCGACTTCGGGTATCTGGAGATTCTTGAGATTCTGGATGGCGAAAAGGATGATGGATGATCCATGTTGATGAGGATTATGATGACAGATCCCTGAGGCTGTTCATTTTTTGCAAAAGCATCTGGCAACACCCGAGTCTCATTTTTTCACATGTGCGACCTCGTTGAGTGTGTCACCGTGCCTTGCCTGTCCTACAAGATAAACAAATAACGACAGAAAACATGTCTGGACCTCACATCGTCCACCGTTCACGTTTCACGTTCCACAACTGCAAGATACTGCAAGCTAAAGCTGTATTTTGTGGTCAAACATCCCCAGCAGATTCTCAATGGAGTTTGGAGATTTGATGAGATTTGGGAGGCGGAAAAGTACGTGAAGATTGCAGAGTTGTACTTGGAGGATGACGACCCGGTAGCTGCAGACACCTTCTGCTCTAGAGCAGCCATGGTGATGCATGAGGCCCATCAAAAATGCGTTGAGCCGAAGGGTGGCAATGGTGAAGTGTCCCGTTTCTTTAATTTTGATCAGGTGTGAGAGGAACATTCTACTGGATTTAGTTTCTTTGTGACTTGTTGTGACGCTGAAGGAATTATTTGAATGAGGTGTTTGTGCCTGAACACTTCATTTGCACAGACTCAATCTTTCTGGCACTTGATCAAACAACACGTGTCTTGCGTTTCCATCCCGTTTCCCATGACTCCAAAATTCCCAAGCCAACTGTCAAGCGCAGCAGTTTTGCAGGTCAATGACACCCCGCTACTGCTTCGTTACCGAGTCTGCCATGTCCGCACCTTGAACAGAGCTGTGAGTTGAGCTGGGTAGAATCATTTTGCCACGATCCAAAACAACAATGGGCCGAGGCTAGAGTTCTGGATAGCAAGAGGACAGCCACCCAGAACTTGGCACATTTTGTGGCACATTTTGGTCATCTTGAAATTCCGAAGCCGTCCATGGATATCCCGGTGGCCAATGTCATGTATTTGGGGTTTTCCAGTTCCATGGTTCCATGGCTTGCACGAGACCTTCAGCTTGGCTCGCAATGATGTTTCCTTTAGAAGGACCATTTTCAATTGCCAGGTTCGCCCTGTTGTTTCCATGCTTCCTTGACTTTCGGCTTGAGCCTTTTCCATTGAAAAGCAAGCGATTTTAGCAAGCTCAGACAACTCAAGTTGCTGAATCTCTTTGTATATATATATAATTATATATATATGCAATTATATATAATTATATATATATAGACATAGGGAGAATGCCAGCATGACCTTGCTCTTGGGTCACTGTAGTTGACCAAACCAGTACTGCTTGACGACGTATCAGCGGAGATTGTAATTGCTGGGGGCCTACAGCCTGGGGATTCAATAAAGTTGCACCCTTTTTGATTTTCACCATCTTTTCTGCCACAAATCCAACAGCCAGGCAAATTGCAACCCACCGCACTGGCACATGCTTCTAAGGAATTCCTGATTTCTTGTCCCCACTGCATGAATCAAACATGCTACACTGAAGTGTGACCAGCAATCATGATGCAGACTCCGTCAGCCATGCAGGGCATGCCCCCTTGTGGGGGCTGTGGCTGCGGCTGTGGCTGTGGGGGCTGTGGGGGCTGTGTAGGCTGTAGTGGCTGTGGTAGTTGTGGCAGCGGTGGTGGCTGCAATGGCTGCAATGGCTGCAATGCTTGTGGCGGCTGTGGCAGCTGTGGCAGCTGTGGTTGTGGCAGCTGCGGGGGCTGCGGCAGCTGCGGAGGCTGTGGGAGCTGTGGCAGCTGTGGCTGCGGTAGCTGTGGTAGCTGTGGTAGCTGTGGTAGCTGTTGCGGTGGCTGCGGAAATTGCGGCGGTTGCGGTTGCGGAAGCTGTGGGGGTTGCAGCGGTTGTGGCAGTTGTGGCAACTGCGGTGCCTGCGGCCCTTGCGGAAACTGTGGTGGTTGTGGCGCCTGCGGCGGCTGCAGCAATTGTGGCGCTTGCGGCGGCTGCAGCAATTGTGGCAGCTGCAGCAATTGCAGCGGCTGTGGTGGGTGTGGATGCAGTGGTTGTGGATGTGGAAACTGCATGCCCATGATGGGGATGTCTTCAGGGATGTCTGGCATGATGCCTGGTGGGATGATGCCCGGGATGATGCCGGGGGGCATGTCTATGATGGGTATGAACCCCATGATGGCGATGATGGCTCAAATGGCATCCATGGGTTCAGCACCTGGCTCTGGAGATGAAGAAGAAGACGACGAGAAGAAGGCTCTGAAGTGCAAGGGTAAGACTGCACTCACAGATTGGTTTGTCTGAAAATAGGTAATTATGAATCCCATGGTTGATCGCCATTGTTTTGCCCCTCAACTTTGGCAGAAATTTGAGGCGCGCCCTCCATATTTGGACAAAGCTAGATGTCGGGGTTGCTAGCTCATGCTGGCAGTTCCCAACTGCAGGTTTTTTCAGACTTTTTGTCAGATAGTTGAGATGAAAGTTGTCTGCATCCCTGGCAAACCTTCCGGGGACATGGCGCGAACCACAGGAGGAGGGTCCTGTTGAGCAGACCATCCGGAAAGGTGTGGGGGGGTATGTGCTGATGGTGATGGATAGCTAGGAATCGGTAGTGATGGATAGCTAGGAATCGGTAGTGATGGATAGCTACCAGTAGGAATTTGTGGTGTTGTCAACGATGGAAACGTGTGCAATGAAGATGAGATTGCGTTCAACTACCAAAATGTCCGCAACTTCAGGCGTCAGGTTCCATATTCATCTGAGCCGACTTGTTGGGTCTGCTTGGTTTGGTGCGCTAAGTTGAGGCAAAGGTAAGGGAAAGCGAGCTCCCAATGCTGAGCATTGCTTGCCACCCATCCATCCGGAGGCAGGAATCAGACCCCAGACCATCCCTGAAATCACCATTTTATTGGCTTGTATAGACCATCCCTAAATGGGAGGTGTATGGCATTGGGTTTACCACCTTTAAGTCAAAGGGCCCAAAGGGCACGCCTTCTTTTAGCTCTCAACTTGGCTATGGCTCAATGAGGGGACACCTTCATCCAAACCATCGGGAATCATGGCTGTGGTCCAACATGGGCAGAGCAGCGAGTTTTGAAGTGTTTGCGCGTCTGGTTATGTTGAGAACCTCCACTGGCAAAGTTTGTTTTTGGGGGAGGGATGGGGAGGGGATTTCATACAAAGCTGAATGAGAGAACTTGACTGTACTGCTCTGTGGTCAGGTAGAGGCGCTTTGCAAAAAGTTTGCCATTGAGGAAAAGCGCCTGAGTCCGCAAGAGCAAGATTTTTAGTGGGCCCTGACATAGCTGCAAAATCGTCAAATATCATCGGGTCTACCTGGGATTAGAAGCCTCAGAAGCCTCATTTTGAAAGAGGAAACAACAAGAAAGACGCGGTTAAAAATTCAAAATCGATCAAACAAAATCATCCATATCGTGATAGTTGTGTCTTCTCAAGTGGACACCTGAGCTGAGCCACGGGTCCAAGGATTATGCGGCGACTTGATGATGTGATGAGAACCAGAGAGGATTCTTTCGAAACCGATCTCAAAGCTCTCTACGAGGCGAGTACGTCATGTATCGCCATGTATACAAAAAAAGAGGTTGCGGCCTCGCGCCCCCTGCTGCACTGCCATCAGATCTGAGCCACTGGAGGTTTGTGAGTCAGCGAAGAAGCCTTCTGGATCTTTGATGGCAAGGAACCAAGTTTCTTCCAGGTGAAGGTGTTTATCTCAACTGGTGAACGAGTTTGTGCTTGTTGAATCTGGTTAACGCTTGTCTTCCATATCTCTTCCATTCTTCCATCCTTTTGGAGTTTCGCACCGAGTCTGTGAGGTCAAGATTGGGGAGCTGGAAAGAGGCTGCTTCACAGGAGAGGTTGCGATTTCAAGCAGGATTTCTGTTGACGCCCTTTTTGGGGTCCAAACATGGGGTGCCCCAAAATCCAGTGGTCTATCATCATGTCCATCAATTAAACGGCTATCTTGGGTACTGTACCCCATGTCTGAGCAAATGCATAATGGATATTACTTTGGGGGTGCTATTTTGAGCTGGAATCATGACTGTTTTGGGACCACCCATTCATTGACCTGGGGCTCTTCAACTCTGGATTGACATCAATCGAAGAGCTTGAAAGTGAGCAGCTCAAGGAGTACGGGGACACTGTCTTACTTGTTGAGAGCGGGCAGTAGACAGAGCCATGTTTGAACTACTGGAGGAGCTGACAAGCTGGATCAGTGCATGCTCACCTTCAGGACTGCGATTACCACGATTGGAAGTTTTGGGCAATTAAGATCAATTTTTTGCAGAGTCCTGTGGTAAAAGCCAATAGTGAACTTATATAGTAATTAAACTATATCCCAGCCAATTGTCATGAATTATCCAGTTTTAGCACCCAAATCCCTGTGGGTATCAAAACTCATACCCTTCTTGAAGGGGTTGATGGTTCAGCTTCACCTCCCAGAATTGGTGGGAAAAGCTACAAGAACCTCCCATATTTGATGTGAAGAACCATGATTTTCTATGACCACAGTAGCTGCTATCCTGGCTGTAGTGAAATTGCACAGGAGCAAGTACAAGCTGGATGATCGAGCTCTTGCGAGGCCTGAAATTAGGCTCTTGCAGTCATGCTGTCAATATTCCATTTTCATCCATTTTCATCCATTTTCTGCAAACTGGTTAGTAGATGATGCTTATGGCTTGCTCGTTCGACGATTTTCCCAGATAGAAACATCCCATTTATCGTTCGGGGATTTCCCATGTTTGATTCCCGAAGCGCAGGGGCCCAACAGTCCAGACAAATCAACAAGACAATAAAAATATGTCACTTTCACCCTGGCCCAACCCCCCTTAAGGGGGGATATAGAAAACCAATGAAACACACATGAAAAGCCATCAACGTGTCGGTGACAACACTCTTAGATCTGCAAAAATGATGCCAGGTTTGTGGAAGTTTGTCACCCTCGCAGCCAAAAGTTGGATGACATTCGACAAATGGTGCCACATCTGCAGTTCAACATTATGACAGATTGGGGGGAGTTAGATTCATCAGACGGAATCAGATGAGCCCAGAAGATCTAAAGGAATTGGTATTTGCTTTGCATTTGCTTTCAATGGATCGATTCTTGGGATGACCCGATGCCTGGATTTTTGGCATAGCTTGACCAGGAGAAGTACCTGAAGAACGCGCCCAATCCGTCACAGGCGCGATGCTATCCTGCGTACCAGAGTGGGGTATCATGTCTACATTGAGACAAGCCCCAAGTAGCTTCTTGTCACGACTGGCAGGTAGTTATTCCTCTTTTGATGAGAATCGAGCCCCTTGGTGGCACAGCTTGGAGGTGCAGAGTGTTACCAGAGGTTTGTCTGAACATGGGGAATCCCATGGTTCATCCTCATTTTCCCCATTAGAAATGAGAATTACCATTTTTTGGGGTGAGTATAGCCCTTCTTTGTGCAGACCCAAAAAGGTTCCCAAAAGTGCCTGGTAGATCAATTTCCATGGTATTGGTTTGAACTATCCCGTCATCTCAGGATCTTTTTGGCAGTTCTCAAGAGCTTGGTTCTTTTGGGTCTCAGACATTGAAACAGAGTAGCTGTAATGACCCAATATCGTCCAAGCGAATGCACGGCCCAGACATGGCAGGAAGGAAGGACGCTTGCCCAGTCCAGAACGGACCAAAGACAAAGACAAAGAGCGCATAGGCGTGGAGATGTGGAGAACAATGAGAACACGTCCAAGGCTTGTCTCTTAAAAGCGGGTACCCAAATAAATGGCACAGAAATACACAGAATTCATACAACGTCATAGAATGACAGTTGTAATGGCTACAATATGCTACAATTAACATGAAGCCTTGGGACCTTTAGGGTTCCAAATCCGTCCCAGGCAGGCACGCAAGTCGCTCCCCGTCGCGGTCTCGAAAGAAGACGAGATCGAAGTTGGGGACCCAGCCATTGTAACCCCCAAAAAGATCAAACACCCATAGAAAAGCAACGAAAAACATAGAAACAACATGGCAACGCATGGCAACAATAGAAACGCGACCATCTAGTAAAATACAATGATAAGTGACGAGTTTCTTATAATGCCCGAATTATGCATCTAAGAAATCTGTCACTTCTAAGTTCTGGCTACGAGACAAAATTCAACCGCCTTCGGCATGTTCCACCGGCCACCATGGAAAGAGCTATCCTGCAAGCTGCAAACAGCACTTGCACAGGCCTAGGAAGAACATAGACATGGTTTTTGTGCATAACACGGTTTTTGTGTAAAACAGCGTTTTGTGTAAACCATAGCTTTTACACAAAACATGGTTTTTGTGAAAACCACGGTTTAAGATTAAGCCAAAGCATGAGTGTATAAACCAGGGTTTTGGGAAAAGGCCATGCGTGGAAAGGTTACGCGTGTGACAGGCCACCTATGTCACGTATTGGACATAAGAAACGATGCCGCAAACCTGTGGCAAACACAGCAAAGAAAGCGGAAAAAAACAACGGAAATAACCGCGAAATGTTCACAACCAAGCGTTTGTTGAGTGAGTCGTGGGTAGAATTGAGCCCAGCACATCGCGGCAAAAGATGAAGACGAAAAGCACGACAAGGACGAAGACGAGAAAGACTGGGAGAGAGGGGGGCAAAGTTAGACGAGGCAAAAATCCGGACCAAGGGGAAAGTCTAGGACAAGACAGACAGTACAACTACGAACAAGCAAGATCAGCAAGACACGCCGGCAGGCCGGCGGATTAATGTGGTATAAGGTAACAAACCATAACAAACCTACCATTTGAATTTGGGGAATGACTTTTGAGTCCTTTTGGGGATGGTTTATTCTTGGGGTTACGACATCATGAAGCAGCTTCAAACTAGCAAGAGGAAATGACTTCCAGATGTCTCACGATGCGTTTGAGGTCTCGAAAGCGTGAATCGCGCTCCAGATCACGCTCAGGATCCTGAGGAAAATCAGTGCAAGGCTTGATATCGGCAGACTTGACCCTTTCCATATGAGTCCTGAGTCTTTTTTGTTCTTATCATCGAGGATACGCAGTCAAACATTTTGCCCACCTGCTTTGCAACTGTTTAGAAAATAATTAGAGTTGAGATAATTTAGACATGTTACATCATGTTACAATGTTTAGACATGTTTAGACATATTCAGACATTTTAGACCACATTTGCAATGTGCAGGTCAACCATTCCAAGACCGCGAGAGTGGCATCTGATGTGTCGTTTGAAGCCTTGGTCGTCTCACTTTGCCAACTCGCATTTGGCCGAAAAAATTGAAGCTGAGAGGTTCTTCACTGAGCCAAGTTGGTATACACATTGATTCACATTGTTTGAGGCCTGCTGAGACCCTCGGGTGTCATTCCATTGACTTCAAGTCCTGACTCTTTGGATGATGTATGTATCCATATACTGTATATCATATATCACATATCATCATATCATATATACAGCCCGTGTAAATAAATAAATATATACATATATATATATATACTATTTATATAACTATTTAATATGTAATATATAATATAATATGATATGATATGATATAACACAATATAATACAATATAATACAATATAATACAATATAATACAATATAATACAATATAATACAATATAATACAATATAATATAATACACAATAATATAATATAATATGATATAATATAATACAATATAAATTACTATGATATTATATGAAATGATATGATACAATATAATACAATACACTATGATATAACATGATATAATACAATACAATATAATACAATATGATATAATATGATATGATACAATATAATACAATATAATACAATACAATATAATATAATATAATACAATACAATATAATATAATATGACATAATACAATATAATACAATATAATACAATACAATACAATACAATATAATACAAAATAATATAATATAATATAATTTGATATAATATAATATGATATAATACAATATAATACAATATTTTATAATTTACTATGATATTATATGATATGATACAATTCAATATAATATAATATGATATAATACAATACAATATAATATAATATAATATGATATGATATAATACAATAAAATACAATATGTAATACAATATAATACAATATAAAGTATAATATAGTATATATATACACATACATATGTATCTATGTACATCCATTATCTCCCCCCATTATGTCCCCATAATTTAGCTGCAGGAAGTTCTTGGAGGCGGCCTCCAAGTATTGTGACCTCTCGCAGCAGACCTTTGGCGGTCAAATCTGTGAGGCATCGACGGCATATTTTTGAAGATCCTCAGTCACCAGATTATGGTTACTGAGCTGATAAAGTATCTTAACTAAGTTGGTAAAGTTTAGTAAACCACCATATCAGATTATGATCAGATTCATGTACTGTAAGGCTATAGAAATCGGATGTTTCATGACCAATCCAATTGACTTTGAGTGCTGCCAGGCTGACCTGCTTCAACTGCTAAAGTGCGTCGCTACCTCAACGGGCTTGAAATTCGATGTCCTGGTGGGTTCAAATAATCCCATCCCCCTATGTAAATATCCCCTAAATGGTCCCAACTATGTGTAAATTCTCTAGTAAACCCCGGTTAGTTTCTTGGGGGAAGGGATGGAAAAATCACGGGACATCTTTGGGATGTTCCAACAGATTTCTCTCAGATCACGAAAGGTAGCCTAGGCTACCTGAGTTCTGTGTACTTTAATACTACTGTAGTTTAGTACTGGGAGGTGGTTGGCCCTTGCCTGGAAATTGATGGCTGGAAGTAAGGCATCTCCACATAAGGGGGGGGCCTCCCCGTGCCATTGACGGTTGGCGTCGATTTTGCGGCGCATTCTGTTTCACCCAGCGCACATGCGATTCCAATCCATGTACGTTGCGTTCTAGAGTCATGACAGAAGAAAGTCCATTGCAATGGCTGCTTGCACCTTCCTACTTTGATACTGTTGCCATGGCAAATTTTTTTCTGCTCAATAAGAAGCAAGTCGGTGCTCTACGCATATCACAGACACGCAGCTGAGCTCCATGCTCCAACTGGAATACTTTACGAGACCACTCGATGTTCATCACAGGTCATGGACAATGCTCAAGTTAGATAAGGAAACAATAGCAGTATGTCCCTTCGCAGCGATACTTATCCCTGAGCCACAAGCCTTTTAATAGTTCCCACGAAACAAGGGCGGTTTCGTCTCCTGCAATTCTTGATGTTGCTTTTGCTTCAGACATCCTCACGCACTTAGTCGCATGAAGGTTACATCCCTAAAGACCTATCCCTACACGCAAAGTGCCTCAACCGAGCGTCCATCGGTTGAGGCACCTTGGCCCCTCTAATTCACATAGTTGGCCAACAAACTGACTAACATTATCTTGCTTGTGGTTCTTATTACTGACTATGGCACAAGGTGGGTGGAAGTTAGATATTGAGACAAGATGCATGCAAGAAGTTGTTGATGCCGGGGAAGTTCGGATATTGCAACAACAAAAACGTAAGAAGTGGTGGAGAGGCCAATGAAGCGAAATGAATGCAGGAAATTGAGAGGCACCTAGGGAAGGGAAAGTTCGATATTGAAACAGGATGAGCGCAAAAAGTTGTTGAGAGATATGCCCCCACCTACCTTTTGCCCCCCCTCTCAATTTTTTTCCGGGGTTGGAAAAACCATGGTTTTCTGTCAATGTTCCCTTAAATCCACCCATTACATGTGAGTTATATATATATAATAATATACACGTGTATATATATATATACACGTATATAATAACATATGTATGTATGTATGTATATATATATACACATACCATTAAAATATTACCACCATATGCCCAGTAGAATCCCAATTGAGCATCCTATTTTTTTGGCGGTGCCCTGAGAACCAGGCAGTGACCTGTGCAATTCTGGCACCTGCTGGGCCACAGCGTTCCAGGACATCTGGGGAAGGGCTCAAAATGTCAGGTACAGTATGATATGGACCATGGAGGTTTCCATAAACTGGGGGATCCCCAAGAAATGGATGGTTTATAATGGAAAATCCCAAAATCAAATGGTTTACAATGGAACATCCCATGAATAAATGGATGATTTGGGGATACCCATATAAGAAGAAATCTCCATTTCAAGGCTGTCTAAGAAAATCGCAATCCATATAAGAAGATCTTACACTTTTCAAGGGTAAAAGAGGTGCCCCCTTGCTGCGAATGCGAAGAGTCCGAATTGCAAACACAGATCGCTGGGGTCAGGCGGCCACACTCTCTGGTAAAAAGAACAAGAAAAGATACCACACGTTTAACATTGTGATAAATCACTTGTCCACCTTTTCGGGGAACACTACTATTGTTAATAATATTCATATATGTATATATATGCATATGTATATATGTATATATGTATATATGTATATATGTATATATGTATATATGTATATATGTGTATATGTAAATATGTGTATATGTATATATGTATGTGTATATATGCATATGTACATATGTATATGTATATATATATATATGTATATATGTATATATGCATATATGTCTATATGTGTATATGTGTATATGTGTATATGTGTATATGTGTATATGTGTATATGTATATATGTATATATGTATATATGTATATGTATATGTATGTGTA